TTTTTTTTAATGCTGGAGGAGATGAGAGAACCATTTTTATCTCATTTTATACTCTTGAAGTTCAGGAGGAGAAAGTTTTCTGTTAAGATTCCACATTTTTGAGTCAACCATTTGCTTATTGTTGGCCACCGTGTTTATACTTTTATTTGATTAACATTTTTCCAGGTAAATGTCTTGGTTTGGGTGGGGAAAGTCATCTGATGATACTTCATCCAATTCATCCGTTGGAACTCCAAGTTCACCTATAGATCTTAGTGGTGGCCCATCATTTGATATAAATGACACGTTAACATCTCAGGTAAAGAACTTCTGTCAAAATTATCATTTATGCATCGAAAATGCACTGTTATTAGTTGAGATGAGTGCTGTCACAATCACGGAAGTCACGTTAAGTAGTGAATTGCATCAGAGCTTCAGTATGTGATCAGCACATGATGCAATATCACTGCTTCCACTTATTTTGATTAGGCTCCGAAAGTTAGCCTATTTACTGTACGATTTTATAGCAAAGCATCGAAAAGGCTCTATCCCTATTAGATGTTATATCTTAACCCTGGTAAATGAAGGATGTAAATTCCAGATGAATCTTTCACTCATTTTTCCTCATATACCGTTGGAACTTTGCTCTACGAAGCTATAAACTTTAGAGATTTTTTCTGGGGATGGGACGCTGTCGAGATGAGATTATTGAGAGAATCTTACTTGAAAGGCAGGCAAGATAAGGGATTTCTAACATAACTTGCTAAAATAACATGAAAAGCTATCGAATGCTGCAAAGCATGTCTTATTCGCTTGTTTCAGCCTGCACCCACCACTGACCAATCACCGTTTTCTACTCCTGTTCTTGCCCTCGATCAAATCAAGAGCGCCGGAGTTCCAGTTACGCGGCAAATGACACCTTATCTGCAGGTTTGCTATCCTTATTGCGTAATAATTGCAAATTACACAGCTTTTGCGTTGTGTTCATAGCTTAATTTTTTAAACAGTTTGTCGTAAGTAGCAATTTTTAGATGGATCCATCAATGTTCATCTCTTCGCAGCCGCAGTATATTATGCCTGATGGCGGTACAGGTACTTCAGGCAAAGGAAAGTTCGAATTTGCTTTGGGGCACATCGGTTGGGCAGTCGGTGGCGGCTTCGCAGTCGGTTCTTTGAGAGGTGCTCTAGGAGAGCTGATGAATCCAGAAACTAGGAAATTAGTAAGTGAACTGTTAGCAGCTTATGTCTCTTCATAATTCTTATTCAAAACATAGCGTTACCCCTATCTTCCAACACTTAATTTAAGGTAGGAAAACCATGGTTGACTCGTATGGTGAATGCAACAGTCAAGCACGGATCAGGATATGCTCAACCAGCTGGTTTGTCATGGTTTTATCATCTTAGCGTTTTTTAAGAAAGTTTTTGCCGTACAATTGCACGGTTGTTCCAAAGCACATTCTTCATTTTTTTCCCTGTGTTACTTACATTTTCTCCCCTTCATCACTTCTATTGTGGCTGTCTTTTTGCTGTAAAGTAGCAGATCGTCTTTGCGTCGCCCATTTTTAATTCACTTTATCACACTGGGGACCAAGCTTATGGTGCTCTTAATCCTGGCTTTTATTGTGTCGATGTGATCAAAACTTGGATAAGGCTTTTCAAAAACGTCGATTCTCAGCGGTCAAATTATCAGTGGCATATCCGTATTGAATATAAATTATAGGGATAATTGACAGGCGTAAATACTTTCTTATAATTTGCATATTTATTCGCTGTGCAGAATGTGAGATGTTCCTCGGTTTCTCTCACTGCAATGTTAAGACATTTTATGGAGAGGGAGAGGATGCAGATATCGTTATTTTGCAAAAAAAAAAAAAAAAACACGTAAGCCAGACAGATGCAATGTTCGAAG